CCACAGCACTACTAGCTGAAAATATTAGAAATGAGATTCGGATTCCAGGATGCGTTAACTCTTGATTTTAATAAAAATGTGGTTTGGATGGTGAGTAGTCCCAGAGCTCTTTTTTCATAGATTCAATTAGTTACGATCGAGCCCTTTGTGGGCATCAATAATACAAAGTAATACAGTGATAATAGAACAAAATCCCCATTGTCAAAACAACAAATCACATGCGCACTCTGCCCCGGTAAGTGTTGAGAGTCCGTACAAACGGGCTGTCACTGCTTTCAAAGGGTGTAAACGTATTATATATATAGAAGAACCCCTATTCTGGTCGCTCACTTGATCTCAAACGCGACCCTTGATGAGAGCTAGGAATCGAACAAGCTTCATAACAGATTCGTTTTGAACCATTAGAAGTAAGCCGTTGTTTTCCGTATAGAATCCCTTGTACAGGAGGTGATTGAATCACCCAAAAGGCAGAAAAATCGCTACTTTCTAGGATATTGTGTAACGCGTAATGATAACAACAACAACCGTCAACATTTTTGTTTAATTATCAAAAGAATAACAATAATAATGTTTAGCGTCTCACAGCTTCTCTAGCCAGGTCTGTCCGTATTGTCTAATACGCAGTTTACCAATTGACCCCTGAGACTGATAAACGTTTTTTAACCTTTAAAACAACGAGTTCAAAAATTAACTGTCTATTGTACAACAGTACTAAACTTAAACTGTAGAAACATCATCACTGTTGTCATCCTCTGACAAGGGAACGCGACCTACCGTCATCCATCGCGTTCGAGACGCAAAAAATCAGTTACCGTAGAAGTGATGAGTGAAAGTAATACCGGATATTATATTGGCACTGATGGTCTGGTATACCACAATGGCGACCTGTTCACTGGTGATTTGCCCTTTAAAGGTAATGCTTTTATTTCGGGCTCCGTCATTGTTCGCAAGGATGGCTACGTCAATGGAAACATGGATTTCCAAGGAGAATTGTTGGTCACGCCTAACCTGTGGGCAGATATATTTTCTATGAAGTACCTAGCTACAGGTGCGGCACAAGCATTAGGAACATACACTCTCGCTCGTTTGGCGTTTAGTACTTTCGAAAACTACTTTTCGAGTTAACTCGACAGGCCTTCCATTAGTTCGTGCACCTGGACAACATTAGTACGCGTACGCCTGGCAAGCACTGCATTAGTGTTTGTAGAAGTTCAGGTATTCAGGTTTTGGTAACGCTTTTCTTCCGGACTGTATACCCACGGGTGAACATCAATATCACTAACAACATATAGCGAATACGATTGGCCTATGTCAGCAAACATTTGCTGCCAACATTTATGCCAACTCACATGCTCGAGCTTGAACTTTCAACAGCGTAGATGTGTACTCGTCAGAGTTTTTCCCACCATCACCCATACAGAGCAGCGTTAATACTAAAACATAACATTTTGAAGGATGAAGTAAATCATTTTGAGTAGCGAGGCTATATAGACCTTAACAACCGGCGTCAGTAAAGCTATAGGTCAGTAGGTTCATAGTAAACTCAAAGGCAGCAAAGAAGAAACATCAAACTAACAAAAAATAAATCTAAAGTAACTGTATGGAACTGGAAATGGGAAGTTGCTCATTAAGGAATGAAGAAACTTACCATCGAAGCACCAACAACTGTGCATTTGGCGACACGTCAACAAGGACGGTAGCATGCGGCATGTTCAAGCCGATTTGAATAAACTGGCTAAAAGTCATTGCACAGTATACCCGACAAATAGAAAAAAGTGGCCCTAACTTCTAGAACTTTCTACTTACCGAATTACCGATGCACGCAACAAATGAGTTACATGATGATAAGACTTAGATCAGCCACATTTTGAATTGGTACTTATTGCAGACTGTCTATTTCGGCAAAATAAACTAGAGTAACAGTTCCTTGCAGGTTCCGCAGCTGTTGCCCGAAGCGTCTGAACTTAATTAAAAAATAAAGATTAAAACAGGCAATACGTTTGCAATTTGTAATACGGTATACGGTTTTGACATAATCTTTGTTTCAGTAAGCACGTCGTGGGACCTCGGAGGATTCGCGACATATTGTAGCTCCGCGGTGCTGAAAAACATACGAGCACACTTCCAGCTTCCGAACACAGATTTAGCAGAAGATTAGCGGTTCGCTGCACCCGACATAAAAATAGAGCATACTTTAAGCAGACAAGATAAAATTATATTTTAAAGAAGACCGTTACACGTATTGCATTGCCTTCTAGATAAATCGTCTCACCGTATATCTTCATGTTTAAATTCTATATTTCTGCATTGTAAAGTATACTATTAACATGAACCGAAAAAAGTTTAATGTCTGTAACAGCTTATCGATCGAATCACACCAACAGGCAAAAAGATGAGTTCTCAGATGGTCAAATAAGACCGACTATTATTACCATAGCTGATCTGATCCACCTCGTGGTATTCGCTGAAAGCTATGCAGAAAGCAACGATTTTTCGAAATAGGGCGCTTTCATAGCGCTGATGAGGCTAGCGAGCCTAAACTTGTAGATTAAACGATTTTTTTCCTGTTACTCTACATTGCCTTTGTGTGCTTGAGCAAAATAGTTGTCTGATCAACTGTTATTTCGCTCTACAGTTTCTGTTGTATCCTTAACAAAGCACTTAATGGTTTATATACAAACGTTCATATTGTGATTGGTACGATTGAATATGTGGCATTACCAGGACCAAGGCAATAGTATCAAGGTTTTCTATGTTGACTGACAGGAAGAAACGACTGCGTACACTCTCGCATGCCCATATTAAAATACTTGATCGTGTGTCCCTCGTAGAAAAGCTTGTGAAGAAAGAAATTTTGCGCTCCGGATAATCATTGCGTCAGGACCTTGACCGTTACTGTAGCAAGTGAGTTGATGGTAAGAAACGGGATAGCAGTGAACTTAGCGAACTTCTGTGGATATCAGGGGCGGAATGTCGGAGAATCTGGGATCAACGTAAGGATGCGTAGCCCTAAGAAGTTAATGACAGGTCTCTTCTTTTTCCCTATTTTCTCTTTTTCAGCCAACTACTGACGCTACTTTGGATACTTCCATGGGTATTTACTCATAATCCTAGGTCATGATTTTTTTTGGCTGAGAACTGGTTTCTCATCTCGAACTGGCTTCTTTTTACTATTGGTTCTGCTCTTTACTTGTTTATTTTCAACACATTAGGCATATAGATATTTTGGCCTAGATGCTTATGGGAAAATAATGCGCCTAAAGCAGGTGCCGGAATAGACAGCTTTGACCTATTGACCCACATACGGCTGCACATCGCGAAAACTCGTAATTTAAACCCGCGAGAACTGCTTTTGACGGCATCATGAGAACCATTGTGTCCGGTGGCTGACAAATACTAAGCATATATAAAAGAGCTGAAAGACACGTTTTACGTAAGAAGTAGGATTTCTGATAAAATAAAAAAATACTTTACCTTAAAATCAATGCTTGGCTACTTTCGCGCAATTTAGCAATTAAAAGAAATCCATTTTGTATCCACTGAACGTTCGAGGAAGTTCATGTTCATGGTTAGTACGAGGTTATTTTTTCCACAGGATATTTTCAACATAATAGAAGTCTATCGCAAGAAACCTAATTTGTCCGAAGTTTTTTTCTCTACCTACATGGCCGCATAGCTTGTAATGCACACAGCAGCATAATGTGTAAGTAGCAAAGAGAGTATATTTTGTAGTTAGCGTTGTAATACTATTAGCCAGGTTGTCATAAACTTTCAAGTAATCGAGGTTGTTTTAGCACTAAAGATTTTAAAATTACTGAACATCGAATGCAACCGCAAAGCTCACGTCCGTTCTATATAAAAATACCTATTAATCAGGCAAAGAACGAATGTCTATAAACAATAATTTATGGCGCATGTATGCCGACCATATATACATGTCGATATCTTCCAAAACAATAGCTCAATTCGTAACAGAGGACTGAGCCACCCCTAGCATCGCCCAAACGTTTTCATGCTAATACAGTCTTAACTTGCGTGCATATTAAGTTCAAAGACAAGTGATGGTCTAAGTTTGAATCCATACGTATATCACCTTTATTTCGTAGTGGTGGCCAGCCATCTGAAAGTAACACCCCGTTAATGCCGGTCGTGAGACTCGTATTTTTTAGGGTACTCGAGAGGTATTTTTTAGCCTTATACGGGAAAGATTGGAAAGACAATTTGATGTTTCCGTCTTGCAAAGATTTGCTCGTCTGCTGCTTCGTTTACAAAACCTGATCGCTATATCAGGCTTTTTTGAGGCATTTTTGAATAGGTTCATCGATAAATCTACAAGTATAAAGCCGGGTCAGCTCGTAAGTGCATAGTCGAACTAGAAATAATAATTTTAATTTAGATGTGCATCATATAGCACTGACCCAAAGGAACCGGTGATAAAGGTGTGCTAAAATTCCCGAACCAATGTCATTGACGTTCCAACCTATTAATAGGAAACGACCTATTATCGATTAATGTAGCAGGTAACTGCAACCATGTAACAGATAGGCCTCTTTTTTCCTGTACAAATTAGTTTTTAAAAACGAACGCGTCCAGCCTTGACCTGAATGATCCTAACAGTCAGACACATGTAACGCTCGTGCCAGAAAGTCATGCGCTGAGAATGGCTTGTGCTTCAAAAATGGATTTTATATATATATATATATATATATATAATTGTCTAGTTCAAACGTTTTACAAGGCAAAATTCGATCGCTCCTCAAAATGGCTAAAAAATTCAACAAAGTGATGCGTAGCGTAAGGTCTTATAATTTCTATAGTACATGTTACTTTGAATTCTTCCGCCAAAAATGTTCGACAATCGGGTCTTAAACTCTCGTTTACGAGATTCGAAATAATTTATGAATCATTCGTAAGCTATCATTTTGCTGACGAAACAAACTTCAAATAAAGATAGTCCCTTTGTCGCGGATCGTTTTTCCTGTGAACCCGGACCAACAATTATGTCAAAACGCAAAGGTATGAGCCTAGAAGAAAAGAGACAGAAAGTGCTGAGTGTTTTTCACGAACGAAAAGAGGTAAGTATTATTTTGGTGGTTGTTATTTTGTTCATGGTTCGTAGTTTGAGTTGGGTGGAGCCGACGGATTGGTAAAGCGAAACGGATATGTCTTTTATGGCTAAAATGAAATGCTTGAAATATAATCTTTTGATTCTAAATTTACATGGCTTTGGTTGTTGCGAAAGAGGCGATAGGTGTTGGATTTGTTGTGTGCGTTAACGGCGAAAGTTATCAAAACGAATGAAAAATTGACCTGAGCAACTATAGCAATTAGTTCATTATGAGATCTAATTTCTGTTCTGTGTGGGTTAGTAAAAGTAGAGCTTATTCGGAACGGCGCACTAGTTCGCCGCGGCATCGCTCGCGATAGGTTTTTCTCTGATGAAATAACGCCAAACATCATGACCTCCTCTGACTGTCATTGAACTCTCGTGTTTGTATATGCCCCTCAGCTAAAATATATAATGCCTCATTCCTTCATTGCCATTGCGTCGTCTGCAAGGCTGTGAGATCCAACTGAAGTATTTGGCAATGCTTGAACGATATTCCTGTCGATTTACGATCAGGCCCTATTGCCGTCGTGCAAACACTGCCAGTAGGACCAAAATGCGTTAAATTCAGTTTCTGTTCAATGCTAGATGTATTCAAAATAGGAATTTAGTCCTCAGTATAACTATTAACCATATATCACACAATATTTTCAATAGTTCTCTTTAAACATACGGTTCCTTACAGCTAAACGCACCCTGTTTTGCTTCATTGCCATTGATAACTACAACATCCGTGAAAAGAGCCACTAATCATGTTTTGCTATCGTATAAAATTTAGGTGTTTCCATTGAAGGACGTCGAAAGTATTTCATCGAAGGAAAAAGGGGTCGTGTTGCAGACGGTTAAAGATGTCCTCAAGGGTCTCGTTGATGACGGTCTTGTCGATAGCGACAAAATCGGCACCTCAATATATTTCTGGGCTTTTCCCTCGAAGGGTACGTGTACATCTTTCTTAGACTCTGTAAAACCTTTGTGATGCAAAGAGATATACTCAGCTGATTGCCTACTAAATATTCGAAGGTATGTAGGGCGCGTTGCTGAGGGGTCAAGCGCGTGTATTTCATGGCACTTCCCGTGTCTACCGTGTCCCAAGAACTTCGAGAGTCGAAGCCGTAAGGCACTCCTAGCTGGGCATTGCTCTATAGAAACCTTACTTTTTCCGAAGAAGGTCATGCAACTTTACGCCGTCTAAATCCTCTTAATGCGCCATAGGGGTGCCAGCTAAATGCTCAAAAAGAAAGTCATCTTACTACACATTAGCAAAGTAACATAGCGCGGTGACGAACTTCGTTTTTTAGAGCTCGTCAATGGTGCTTTTATGAACGATGCGTACCGTCCGATAAAATAAGGAAAACACTTTTTGAGTAACTCACATATTTTATCCAAAGTCCCGCGTATTTTTCTTAACTCTAGATTCAAGTTCAATGAATCGGTTAATATATCGAAGGTTCACGCAGTATCAACCACGCCTTTTTATTGGAGCTAACGCTAGCTGACATCTAATCTGATGCCATGTGTGCAAATATTTTAAATAATCCCGGCCAAATCTAGCGTTTGACAATTGGAGACGACCCTTTGCACAACTCTAATAGCACAATGTAGAGGAATGGAGGCCAAAGCTTAGAAGTAGTAGTCCGGTACGAGGTTCTTAAATAGATTATGTTATGCTCGGACTCGTTTTAATACTCCCAATTTCGATCGGTAAGAGGTATTTCTTTAAGTTAAAAACAGAACCGTTCTTACGCTTTTCAACTGAAATTGCGATTTTCGCCATTGTGTGTAGAATTGACACACAGATACACTGTTCAATTCCCGGCACACATTACGACCATTATTCTTTGCTTCTGTTATTTACATTTTATAGATAATTTTACTATGAATGAAGTTTTCACTGCAATCAAAAAATGGTCGACCTTAATCAATAGATAAAGACACTATTAAATTTGTGGTCCAAACAACTCTGATTTTTTTTTGAGATTATAAAGCTGCATGTGTAATTCGGCCGGTCTTCAATTGATTTTTAAGCTAAAATTTTAACTGACTAATAAAATCCGTATCTCACTAATCGGGCCATATTGTGCTTAGGGATCCTGCACATCCTTGAGGTAATAGTGCTCAACAAAAATGTTCGTTGTGATATTTTGTCTCCAAAAAAATAATAATCAAGAAAAAACTTACGCATCCAATCTCATATAATTAAATTTCGAAGTTAATCGTAGTGCTCAGTAGAATAACAAAGACACACGAACCAAACGCTAAGGTACATGTCATTGAATAACTGTGACAAACGGCCATGCTAGCTCAAATCTTATCATTGGAGAAAAAAATTTATGATCACAAAAACAGGGAATCGTTATCAAGGTCGGTAGCTGTTTGTATGGTTGTTATGGATGGGTTGGAAAAGCCTGAACCTACGCCGGTTAGGCTCATGGTGAAGACCAGTCCTTAGTGCTGTATTTTAAAAAGGTGACTCCGAGCACTCGTTCACTGAACAAAAATAACTAAGAGTGTTAAAAAAAAGCTAAAAATAATAGATTTTATAAAGGATTTTGAATTGAACCGAGCCTTCCTTAAAACTAGCTGTAGTATAAGTTGGGCTAGAGAGTAAACTTCGAAGGTTTCAATGTAGTTATTATGGAGCAACAGTTGTTACATTCACATACGAATGAAAAACTTTGCTGTGATTAAATAAATCTTATTCGTTGTCATTCGATGTATTGTAAATAATATTAGCGACTGTTTTTTCCTGATTTATATTAGGTTTTTTTTTATTTGCGACTCAGCGCTCTTTATCATTGACTTTGATTTTTACGTGAATACACCCGAGGTTTCTACCCTGACTAATGCTGTTTCTAATATATCTACGGTTTTACAGACTATGGAGGAGGACCTTACCTAACAACAATGGCTCTGATGAGGTAAAAATTATCTGTGTAAATCTAGTTAGAAACGAGTGAATTCAATTTGCGATAACAATTGTAGGCATGTGTGCCATTGCAGCTTTAATGCGGTTAAAAGTTCGATTAACGAACCTTCGGAAGCTGGTTGATGAGGCTGAAACAACACGAGTCAACGCACAAAGAGCTCTTGCCGAAGAACAGAAAAAACTGGATCTTTCGGGCAGCGCAACTCCGGTACGTTTCAAAGCTTACCTGTGCCTTTATTTATTAGCTTGGTCTGCTCCAAATTAAATATTTACTGTCATAATAGGTTAATAAAGATGCTTTCGAGCGAACAGGTCAAGAAACTAAGAAGTTTTTTATAGTTACGTGTATTTGTATGATCTTAAGTTAGCGTTTTGCTTAATATTCAGGATATGCTATTAAACCTATCCAAATACGCGGAACAACAGCGTCTTCTTACCCAAAAGCTACGAAATATTGAGCAAAATGACCCAATTACTATCCAGCGTCTTCAGGAGGACCTTGCAGAAATTAAAGCAGCGTAAGTATCTTCCTTTACAGATAATGAAACGTCAACTGTTTATATATATCAAATTCAATATGCATCTTTATAGTATTCACTAAGAGCCTTTAATGGCTGCAATTTGTGAAAGTTTTCTTTTCGAAACTGGTTTAGTGCTTGCTAGTGCCTTGAGTACTGCCAAAAAGCTTTCGAAAGTTAACTTGAGAAGATCGTGAGAGAGACAAAGTTTGTTTTTTGTTAAGTTTTGGAGATCACGTGACATTATTGCGCAATTTTCTAATTTACTTTGGCTCTTCTCGTAAGTTATTAGCCTTTTAGTGTTTTTTGGCCTACTCGCTGAGTAACTTACTGGACCTGAAATGTACCCAAATGTCTTACAATATGTTAAAGGGTTAGGGATCTCTGAGGACACATATGGCCTGAGGCTGCTTGGTTAGGAATTTCCTTGTTCATTTAAGCCAGTGTTACGGCTGAGTGAATATTCCGAATTAAATCCAAGTTATTTGCATTAGTCGCATTTATTTATGACCTTTTCTGTCGTAAGGTCAGACGATTTAGGCACTGAGTTCTCCAACCCAAAGCGGAGTTAGCCTGCGTTAGTTGTGTGCGTCTTTGTCATACATTTATGATTTCTAGTAAATTCGTTATAAAACAATAAAACCCCATTAATAGGTTTTTCCCATTTACCGAATTTCCTCTAGTACGAATCGTTGGACAGATAACATCTTTACGTTGCGCTCATGGATACGACATCGTTCAGGAATGACAGACGCCGATATCGAAAGGGCGTTTGAGATACCCGTCGAACTCGACTACGTTGAGTAGAGTCACAGACAGAAATCCTAGTTATTGACGACGGCGGTCGTTTGTCATCCAATATTGCCGCATCGTTTCAGCCTTTGTAGTATTGTACACACCTTATCATGTCACAAATCATTTGAAGCCGTAACCTGGCTATAGTCTTTTATACGTTGTCGTACTATTTAAAACGTTATATCAAAAGACTAGGGACCATATTTCTTCATGTTTGTGGTGCATAAGTGCTAATACACAGTTTTATCCTACGATGTTAAAAGACTGTATTGTGGTGCTTTGTACGAACAATGACCTAATAGAGTAATATCTGAGTGCCGTACGTGGATAGAGACTTATTCTGAGGCTCGTTTTGTCACTGTCGATTCATTGACTGAATGTCCGGTAATGGCGTAATTCAATATTATGCCTGGACTGGACATTACTGACACGCTGAAATGTTTCCCCCAACAGTCACCTTGGCTCACCGTTATTATGGCTGAAACCCATCTTTCAAGATGGCCTCGAAATATCAAGTCTTAATGGACGCTTGTGACGAAGCCTTGTAATGATCCAAAAAATATGCTCGCTGCAGACTACTCGTGTTCGACAATTTGCCGTATTACTAAGAAAGAACTAAAAATGAAATTATAAAGATACCCGAATTGAATAATCCAACATAATTTGCTATTATTGAAAATTTTATGTCAAAGTTAGGTTTGTTGTTGTACCAATAGGAAAAGAACTAGGATGGGTAAAAATGTATAGTATTTCATTCACACTTATCGCTCTGTAATAACTGTGTGTAATTGTTTTCCTCTTTGAGTTTACGAACAAATCTACATGGAATCAATTAATTGGCCATTCAGTACCAGCCACATCCAAAGCCGCTATCGTTGTTTGTTCACAGCGAAGGGTATTATGAAAAAAGATTAATAAAATACGCATTTTTTTTTTGCCTACCTTGCTTGATAACCTAAACGCCCATATTAACATGTTGAACGCATAAATAAGATCGAATGAGTAAGAATAGATGCAACATCAACTGCACATGGAGTACTTATCCTAGAATCTGCGCTAGAGTGCAATTCAGGTATATATTGAAAAAATTAATTAACTCTATTACCAACCTGTATATCTAGAGGTAACCTCACGAGCAAATTGCTTTACTGTGCGTTCCATAGCATACATTTGCTGTCTCAAATAAAACAGTCTCTGAATAACAGTAAATTTAAGTTCTTCAGAACTGCCTCATAAACTTACTTGAAACTCAGGAGCCCCGATTACAACGAGAAAGGAGACACAACTCCAGAAAAATTGTTACTCCACGATATTTCGTAGAACTGACAAAAGGAAAGGCAGTTTCGATTAGTGTCCCCGTGATAAGGTAGTGGTTATTTTGTTTAGTTGCTACAGTTGAGGCACACGTAGTGGCCTAGGTTCGAATCCAGGCGTGGACACGGTTGGAAGATAGCCATCTGATGAAACTTCTGACGTCGGTATGGGACGGTGAACTCGAAACGTTAACTTCCACTTAGCGTATATTCCTACCAGATTGGCGATGCATATGTTAATAGATTTCAATGGTGGGAAGCGCTATATCGCTAGCAATGCACCAGATATATATATATATATATATGGCATTCACAGGTTTTTGAATGAAAAAACGATCATTTTTTCTAGTAATATACCATATAACTTTAGATAGTCTAAGAAGAGCTTATATTTTATCTTCTAGCGGTGGCTTTTATTTCGTCCAGAATAAAAATACTGAAGAGAAAAACGAACGAAGATTCTGGAGGGAACAAAATTCCCTTACAATGCAAGTGGTACTAATGTTAAGACAGAGGCTGCGCCCGTTCAGGTAAGTTAATCTACGTTTAGAGTGGTAATCAGCTACAAGACTTTGATTAAAAAACGACCTAAACAGACAATATGTGCTAAGATCAAGTACAGATGTCAGGAAGGGGTAATACATAGCAAGCAGTTTGATAATAAGGGCTCCGATGATCTCTATCTATATATTGATCGTTCCCGTTTTATTTCAACTGAAAGTAAAGCATCTGAAGCAAGAGTTTGGCTTCAGATTTGGTATATATTTATCTTTGTGACTATATTCGGGCATATTTCAAGTATTCCTGTTCCAAATCGGAGAATCAAGTTTTCTTAAAGGCATTGCGTGCGTGCCACTATTACATAGAGAAAAGTGTAGGCAAAATGTCGTTATGAGCAGCCGTATTGCAATATTTCACTTAATATTTCATATTTAATTTATAGTCTTGGCTTGTTTTTATACATATAAATTGTTGACTTATTCGATCGAAGTATATAGTACTTATGAGGAGCTATTGTTCGAGCCCTTAAAGCAGCTTTGTTCCATTTCGGATGTTTCTCCGTTGATATTTACGCGACAAAAAGCTACGTAACGAGGAACTCGAAGTCGAAACTACTAGGTGAGATAAAACAGATACAGCCCAAATGATAGATATTTGTACACTGGGTAATGTTGAAGGTTCATTTAGGATGACAGCACTCTATTTTTATAAAAAGCAGCTGTTATCTACCATTCTGTCTTTGGCCTGAGCACGAAATACATTCGGCCAAACTCTGGAACTAATTTAATTTGTTTATCCTATTTGTTGCATTTCCTACTACTACGTTGCATACACGCACAATAAAACTATGAAATTTCAATGCTATGAATTTAAATGAAAATAATTTTTTTTAATAACAATAGGTTTTTAAATGGCAACAATAGATAATTAGGAAATTGTTGATAGCCAAATGTCAACTTGTTCGTTTAAAAAAATAACAAAATGACTAGCTTTTAATCGGACGCCTTTTGCTGCTGGGGGCATAAATGGCTTCACTAATCTACTTTTCACTGAAGTTACGATACATATTGGATAACGGGCGTACAAATACTTAAAACATTTCATAAACGTTTACGCACCCCAGCCGAAAACACAAGTGGGCTGGGCGTACAAGGCCGGTGGTTAGTTTAACAAGTTGTCAGTGGTAAATACAGCTTTCGTCTGATTTGTAACTTAGTCAAAATGAATATGTAGTATATGTAGACTATTTAGCATAAGGCACTCAGTATTTTCATTGAGAGCCTTACGTCCTTCTTTACTTATTCATGGATATAGCTCTCCTGGATGTAGCTCTCCTTTCTTTACGGGGTTAGTGCTTCGCAGGCCGAATGCAAACAGTTCCGCAAAGCTGTTTAGGTTTATTGTTGCAAATATTGCCAACAAGTTGAAGAAATGCTATCACCCTTGGTACCTTTTCAGTTCGGTTGAAAGGTGAAAAGCCTCACGGGGGCATGCATGCACGTACGGAGATTATGTCAATAAACACTAAAAACATCATCACTGGTTTTTCCTTTATTTACCACACTTGAATCTGACAAACGATGCAATGCATAGCTGGGTTTGCAGTTTTATCCTGTGGGCCATCGTTCACTGATATCTACACGTATTCGACAACCTAATGCCCTACGGAGAGTACAGTCACAGACGCCGTGTTGCAGTGTTCCGATGCCAATTCTCGGATATTGATTCCTTAATCAAGTTAACGTGGGCCTTTCTAATAACATATTCATGTGTATATAAACAATATATTGAAACTGATGTTTACCATTTGATTTAAAGCAGGTGGTGATATTTAAGCTCGAGATGTTAGTTGTACACGCTCTATCTTTTGAATTGAGGCCACTGGTCACTGAATACTGGGTATGAAATTCTATGTTAGATCTCAGGTTAGATAAGGTTTTACCCTTTCGATGCAATATTTGCTTTCTACAGTTTCGTGCGCTGCTTATGGCCATCACTACATAGACGATATATATATATTACTATACTAACATTCTGAGAGTCCATATCGGACGGCAAAAGTGATAACGCGTCCTCCGTGGAGCAACTACTAATACCAAAACGAATCGGGTTGTATAATAGATTCACCTGACCCACATCTGGGAATAAAAAAAAAATCGGTAATATGTAACTGTGATGTATTGACTAGAAAGTAAATTATCCGCAATTTAATTTGAGTTTTAACTCGCTTCGAATACGTTACTTACCCATTTAAGATAATTCAGTATTCCGGTGGCCATTTTCTCTCCAGCCGTATATACTACTGTGGATTCCTATTGAGAAATCTGAAGTTCATCACCTCTTTGTATAGAAACCGTTACCTTAGGTACCTTCATAGGGAATGAGTCCGTGAGATTTAATACGAATGTCGAATTTATAAAAGAAATTTGAAATTTGAATGAAATATTTAAAAAAAAAAAAAATTCATTAGAGTGCAAGTTGAAAAGCTTAGTTTTTCTATATGTACAGACGACAGTTGCTTATGGCAGCGGAAATACGAGCGAAACTTTTCCTTGTATTGTATATATAATCATTGGATATTATCAGCTAGAAGTTACTTTCTACTCATAGGCATAAGCTGTTCAATGAATTAGTCATATTTGTGCGCTTTTCTATCGGCGCTAATGCGTACGGTACTAAATAGTGAAAACAGACTAAGAGACAACGAATAAGCACGCTCGGAGTTGCTCATCGCGGCAATAAAAGATAGAAGAAGATCTAAAGAAAATTTGTGTAGCGCACAAACATTAGGCTCTTCTGATCTTAGCACAAGACATGATTATAGAGCTTCATTGTCACTAGGGTTAGAATGATATGATAAGTTTTATATGAAATGGCCTGCTTCATGCGTAGACTAAGAATCCAAAATAATAACAAAAAAATATAATAGAACCTTAAGAAATTGCCTCTTCTGACGTTTGCTTTTAAATCTGATGTTATTTTCAAAATCTCTTTTCCATTGTGGTGTTTGTGTGCCTCGGTGGTTAATTAATTAAAGTGCTTTTTTGCGTGAGCATTGCATAGGTAATGGGTACGAAAGTAAGAAAGCCGGCATGATATTATGTTATACCCATTTCTATGTCAGCTGTTTGTGCTTAACATGTCGGTAATTTCGCGCTATCTGTAAGTTAGCTGATATTCGGGGCCGGTACAATGTAGACAGATCGACCCGTCAGGTAGGGCTTTGCTTCCTCGACGAATTTTTTCTCGATTTTAGAAAGGCATTTTTTACTGCCTCATTGAATAAACGATCGACAAGTAGTAACTGCCATATGTTCCAGTCTACTTTCGATCTTCATTCCCCGTGCAGGTTAATGTGTAGGTTACTAGGGAACAAGACGACCAGCTACAAAAGCGCTTCGACGCGGCTACTGCTCGTGGATACGATACACCGTATTGTGTAACCAAAAAACGAGGCCTACTGTCGGAGAAGTCGATGGCGAAAAACTTCAACCAATCTCGCTATTTGTGAGAATAGTGGCACAAAAAATCGAGTCAGCGTAAGCACGGAAGAGAAGCAAGGGAAACGAAGCAGGAGCCTTCCGGGACATCTTCGATTTGGACTCGTCTAGAAGTGTTTGAAGACTCGTCTAGAAGAGATGTGATGTAAATGCATAGGCAACCTCCGTCGATTCTTAAACTCTATATACGATCGTTTAGCATAGCAGTGTTAACTGATGACATTTGTACCTTATCAAATTTGTTTTTATAAAAACTAAAATGGTGAAACTTCTGGCCGACATTTCTTGCTCGGACGATCTCTGGCACAAGGTCATCCAAAGAAATATTGTGTTTCCGCCCTTCGAATAAGGTGTTCAGCAGCTCAAGCATTTGAGCTCTAGGAACGTCAACGAATTACTCGATACAACACAAAAAATGTTTAGGAAGTTGTTAATGCATATATGTTTGTGTATATAAACATATAAATCT